CTTTTTTAATCATTCGCTCATATTTTCGGTGCTTCGTTACCGCGCGACAAATTCGCGTATATTGTCTCGACATTAAACATAAGAATACATAATCAGAACAACAGTTATCTGTCTTTCTCCCTCGCTTTTGTTCTCGCTCTCTCTTTCTCTCTCTTCCTCTCTCTCTCTCTCTCTCTTCCTATTCGAAAGTTTGATTTTTGGACAAATATTGCACTTTATGATGTGGAACTTTACTACGGGAAGGACTTCTCGCGTTCGCCACTAATTTAACATAACGGTGCGGCATTAACCCTCTAACGGCAAGATGGATTTTCAGCATCCAGGAAAGCGGGGTTGGATCCGACCTCAACCTTACCATTAGAGGGTTAATAATAGCGATGCGAGGCGCATCCGCTAGATTGTCTCTGGATTGATCGTGATTTAAACTTATAGCAGGCGCAGGAGACGTCAGCTAACTAGCTAAGCTTTCCTCGCGCCCCTTTGACAACGCAAAATCTCTTAGCTCGCAACTCTGACATAACTCTGGCGTAACTTTGGCGTAGCTCTGACGTAGGTCTGACGTAGCTCTGACGTAGGTCGTTGTTCTCGTCACCTTGGACCAAGGTCGCACGTGTCGAAACGAATGTGTGTGTCGGCGACGGGATGAATTCGCAGATTTTTTTCCCTCCTAGTAGTATACAAACGGTAACGCGCGGGTGGATGACTCGCCGACTCTGCGGCCGAAACGAAACACGTCCGACGAAAGTAGAGTAACAACGTCTACGTGAAGGTAAATGTGCGGCAAATCGAGGACAGAGTCATTACGAAACATTTAGCTTGACAGTTCTCTTCTTCCCCCCTACCCCTTTTTTTGTACACTGAGATGTAATTGACTAGATCTACGAATGGAAAACATTGATTCTTCTTCTTCGGGTGCTGGAGGCTCGAGAGACTAGATATCAGGAGACTCTTTCTTGTAGCGGCGACACCCCAAATTCTCTCTTTCTCTCTCTCTCTCTCTTTCTCTCTCTCTCACTCACTCACTCATTCCCTCTCACTCTCTCCCTCTCTATCTCCACGTATTTGAACTTTCGTAATTAGCGACTGCGTATCGTAGCAGGTACAAAGTTCGCACGGTGACTCTCTGCTGAAAGAAGAGAGAGACTGTCGTGATGTATCTTCGTTTGAGACCGCAATTAATCTTCGCCCTGAACGTCGAGGTTAACTTCTAATATTGCACTCGTCCGATACGCGTTCGCAAGAAAGTCAACTCAGCTTATCTTTCGTACCCTCGTCGTCGACGTTATCTGTTTCTCGTTGTCGTCGTTATCTGTTTCTCGTCGTTATCTTCATCGCGTCGCTTGTTAGTCAATTAAAACCCTCATTTGGTGTTTCTCGATAACGATAAGTAATGGTGATCGAGAGACGGGCAGTGTTGACAGAAAAAGGTGTACGAACGGAACATCGTGGCGGTGATGAAACGTCGTCCACCACGAGAAAATCGATAATTATACGGAGGATGTCTCTCAATACCTAGCCCATGATAAGCCACGTCGACCTTTCAGCTACTTATGGATGGATTACATGTGTCGGGCCTTTAACGGACATAAACATTCTACGTACACGAACAAGAGAGCTCCCGTCTTGCGCTCCTTCCACTTGCGCCGCCGCCGTCGGCGGCTCGGCTCGTCTCGTTCTACTTAGAAATTACGCTTCACTTATACGGACTAAAACTTATCCACGATCGTATAGGTACAATCACGGTAAAAACTTTCGGTTTCATCGATTCGCCTGATTCTGCAGCGACCTGACGGGAGACCGCTGGACGTTAACGCACATACACTGACTATAGTCACTTGGAACACAATCGTCGTTCTATTTCTTTCTCTCTCTTTCACTTCTATTTTTCTCGTATTAGTCGCTCTCAGATCTCCGCGCGCCTTGTAAAAGTATTAAAACAAAAAACAAGGGAATAAATAGGTTTGTGCTTCGTTTTCTTAAAATTGTACGCGCAATATAATTCAAAAATAATTGTTACTTTTTTAGTGGATTAACTGAGATTTTTGTTCATTAAGCTTTTACACAACCGAATGCATAGCACTTAATCCTTTAAAGCCCACAATATATATTAACTTTGGGCTTTTCCCAATTTTCGTCTACTGGTAAAGCAATGATTCCGTCGATATAATATTATCAAACCATCCTAAATGAAGCTCCGTCCTGAACTGTGAAATAGTGTCTTCCCAGCTGAAGATTAATATATACAATTGCATATAGAGCAAAGTCGTTGATGCCCGGATTTATTAGTTATTTGTGCAAAAATGCAATATTCTGTTTATGAAAATTTTGTCCGATGTTTTCCAATGACTGTGTTATAAACAAACAGAAGGTAAATATTTTTTAAATAAAACAATTTTAATGTTCTCTCATTTTTATACTTTAAACACCTAATGTACGTATACGGAGAAAAATATTTTGCTGGCACGGCAAAATTACTTCTTCCATGTAATGTTTCATATAATTATGTACATTAAGAAAATCATACTTTTCGTAGCTAATTTTACTCATACAAAATCAATTTTCATCAGGAACGTCCTTTAAAACGATCTTATAAATTACAATATTTTACTCCAATGGAATCGATGTTTGGGCTTTAAAGGGTTAAAGGTGCTCGAGCAACAGCCGGACGACAGTTGGGAGCACTGTTTTTTTCCTCACACAATTGCATCCTTAGCATCTTCTGGACTAACTTGTCGAAATATTATCGGCGAACGTAGAGCGATCGCTAATTTTCGATTAAGCGTTTGTTTAGTAACCTTTTGACATCGCATTTGTCTATTGCGATTCTGTTACGGCGGACACGTTCTGCTGGGCTACCTTTCAGTCGTAAGAACAGTAATTCAGTGTTAAAGGGTCGCAGCTCACGGATTTGTCTATCACACACACACACACACACACACACTCTCGTGTCGAGAATATGGATACGTTAAAATTCCTTTATAAAAATCTACCTATACTGCAGAATAGTAGAATCGCTCGGTTCGATCGCTTAGTAATCTCTAAAGTGGACACAACCACGAGTCGATAGTCAATCCTAGATCGGTATCCCCGACGCTAATTATTTACGTAAGCTTACGGCTCCGACGTTAATTCTAATTTATGCTTTATACGTAGTACATCGAGTTCATTCCCTTCTTCTCCCTCTTCTTCTCTCCATTTCTCTCGGTCGCGATCGCGTTGGCAGTCGAGCGCAGATCAAGCCAGTCAATTTTCCTCTAATTGGTTCTCTAACGCTCTATCCGCGAACAACACGAAGCTTTGGCAATCGGGAAGTCTGTGGTTTACATCATCTTACGAATATAAGTCACGCACATTACGTAGAGTGAAAGACGGATACGGTGGATAAATGATGGGGACGACGCGGCGGCGCGGCGGCTCGTCGATAAGACACGCGCTCCTCATCGGCGGTGGAGTGGAGGATCAATGCAACGTTATACACACGCACACATACACACATACACACACATACACGCGCGCCTCCGTCTTGATACACTGCTGTTCAAACATTCATTCAGTGTTTTTGTAAAACTTACGTTTGGAGCGCTCGCGTCGAATCGGCCCCGCAAGGTTCAACATGAACCCCGCGACGGCGACTTGCGAGTATCGTTTCACGACCGTCGCCTTAAATACGCGCGTTTTACACATACATTCACTCATACAGGTAGAAGTATCGACTCGACGAATATCTCTCCGCGAATGACGTTCAACGTATTTTATTAACGAGGGTTCTAGAGGACGAAAGTATCAGGTCTGTGCAAAAGCTTAGTCGAATTCGTCGGATAAAATCGCTAACGATATTATACAATTTCTGGGTATTCCGATATAAATTTTATTCCCACAGCAGCTGGTCCGCCTGATAATTGTTGATAATTTTCACGAGTAAAGAAAACGTGGACCCGATATTGTTTTTAGGCATTTTCTTTTAGACGAGGTTCTCCTTATTCCCTTCCTGATTCCGCGACCGCCGACTTTCCACGAATCGGAATTGTTCACAGACCACAAACGACAAATCTTTTGCACTAAACTAACGCAAGGGTACGTCGATCTTCTGTGTAAAAAAGTCGAGTCTGCGCGATCCTCACACGGGTCCTCGTACGGAGAATTAGATCGCGCGACGGGAGGAACGACGGAACGGAGTAAATTCTCGCGCAAATTTAACGTCTACGTTATAGATACGTGCTTATACGCTATGTTGTCTACCTATCGACCTATCTACCCACGGCGCATTATTAAGTCAAACGCGAAGACCTTTATATATTTCTCATTCGGCCGAGCGAGGTTATCCATCTCGCGATAGGCTTCGTCTCTCCGAAGCGTACTTCTGAATTGCACATGAACACACCGACAGCGTCCTCGAGGAAAAAGAAAGCCGGACGAGAGTCGCCACGCTCCGACGTGTCACGCGATACTTCGACTCTTTTGGATTCCTCGCGATTCTACGGCTGCGAATGACGCGAAACGATGACGAAACTTAAACTCCAACGTAAGAGAAGAGCCAACAATCGCGAAATCAGACTCTGAACGAACGAAAAACACGTATATAAAATTGACGTTTCGTCGTTAACGATCAAATAAATCATGATAAAACACTCAGGGCTGATAAACGCGACGTATAGTCAGCGGAAGGAAAAGAGTTTCAACACGTTTACTTCGGCGAATTCCAACTGATCCGATAAAAGTTAAAAATCTGAAATTCTAAATTTTTAAACTAATTAAAAACTTTAAATCTAGAAAAATATAAGAATTTTCAATGTTTTTCGTCTTCAAGTCTTTAAGATTCAAAAACCTTAAATCTAAAAAAATATAAGAATTTTCAATGTTTTTCGTCTTCAAGTCTTTAAGATTCAAAATAAAAAAACTTCGAAAATTTATCTTCTGAGAATTACCGAAGAAAAATTTTCCTATTGGATACAGTCGGCCGATTAAGTATTGCAATATTTCTTTTTTCGATGAGTTTCGTAACGCATATGATATTTATATTATATTCAATAAGAAAATGTTATTCTTGAGAATTATTGAGAAACAAAAATCAGGGTTACCACAGAACTGAAAAACCGGGAAAAGTCAAAGAAATTAAAAATGTCAGGGAAAACCTGGAAAAGTCAGGGAAAGATATAAAAACCTGGAATTTACTCACAATCTCCTGAAATATTTTTAACTATATTCTTCTTTCCAAGACTCATTTATTTTCCGTTAGCCTTAATTTGCATTCAGAATTATATTATGTTACTAAACTCTTAAGTTTGTTGTTTCTAATAGTACTCTAAATTACTTTTCTTGCAACCCCTGCTTCTAAACGTTAAAGTTTAACATCACGTATTGCTCATGGAAAATTCTCCACTGCCGTCTGGAAAACGTGGGAAAGTCAGAAAGTTTCAGAATTCATTTTCCGTGGCAACTCTGCAAATTCTCCTGTTGAACCTGTAAACGTTACGAAATTATTCCAAAAATAGCCTTGCAATTCTTAATTGATCGACTGTGCAGATGTGGCGAAATTCAGATTAAAAAAATAAAAGAAAAAAGAAAGAATCGTTGCAAGCTCTCTTCCATCGACGAGAGAGACGGAGCACAGGCGCGGCGACGAACAGCTCGTCGACACGGAAACCACGAAGCGCTGCCATCATCGGTAATCTCGCGCTCTCCCTTATCACTGACTGAGTGACGCGCGCAGACGAGCGTCGATTGAGACGCGAGACTTAGAAGATATGCGGCGCCAGCTGCAGCTTCCACAGGGAGACCGGCCTCGCGAATACCGTCACCTGCCCCTTCTCTTTACCGCCGACCAAGAAAACGTAGAGGGGCGCGGGGCCATAGGAGGGCGTCTTCGCGTCGGTCGCGTCCACCGCCGCGACCTTCGCCCTTTGCCTCTCAGCTCTGGACGCGCTCACCGCTCTCCTCGAAGGCGAGCCCAGTGGCAGACTCTTGGGGGGTGCTCGTGGCACCCTCCGGATCTCTTGGAGCTCCAAGAGCTCGGCGAAGGTCTGCGAGGCTGACCTACCGGGCTCGTCCTCAAGCACGCTGTCGGGCGGGCTGTTGAGCAGCTTCGCGTATTTGCCTTCTTGCTGCTGCTGCTGCTGTTGTTGTTGCTGATGGTGGTGGCCCCTCGCCTCGTCCAAGCCGAGGTAGTTCGGGTTGCAGAAACCGAACTGGCCCTCTCGTATCGTCGACGAGGTGACGATGGGCCGGTGCGGCTTGGATTTCCTGCCGGACACCCAGTCGTCGTCCGCGAGCGGGTCGCCGGGACTCCTCGCCTCGATGCTCGCGTAGTCCGACGTCGACTCCTCGCCTTCCTCGAGGTCGGCGAAGCGGACGGACGCGGAAGTGGGGATTTTTGTAGTCGTCGGGGTCTTCGGTGTCTGCAACGCGGCCTCATACAGGTGCGAGCTGTAGCTCTCGCCGCGAGTCGGCTGGCAGGCTTGGTGCACCGCCGCGAAGTCTCTGCGAAGAAACACGAGCGACGTGATGCGTGTAACGACGTCTTATAAGCTAACGGAACGAAATGAGCAGATACAATTCGAATTATTTTTATTTGTTGCTCATTCGTTACTCAAATATTGCCGAAGGGAATATTTGTTCATAGAAATTTTTTACTAATTAGTTGCTCACAAAATATGCTCATGAAACAAATTCCTATATTATCGTTATGTCGAATTCCGCTGCTATATGTATTTATTGTTTCTCTAACTTAATCTTTCTTCAGCGAAACATCATTAAGGGGAGGTTCTCATCTAGAGGTCTAAAAACACGGTGATTTTCTTGATTTTCTTTGTCATAGAAGGAAGTAAATGAACAACTTGAGTTTTTTGACAGTTATTTATCGACTCTTAAAGTGTAGAAAAATATTTTTTTGGTGCATAAAGGTGTCATGGGAAGTGTTCGTTGTCGAACGTCGCGTTGAAAAAAAAAGGTACCCAAACGGTCTACATCGCACAGTACATTTATGTCATGTGAAATGAAAAAAACCCCAAAATTTTATAAATTATATGATATTTATTGGAGCTTGAAGCAATAATATCAATAAAAAGTCGAAAATTACAAAAATGGCGGACATGTGAATTTCTAGTACCGTTTTTTTCACATTTTTCGCTCTTTAAAGTGCTCTGAAAATAAAAAAAAGACAAATATCATCCGAATTTATGTTTAGGATCCAATAAATTTTATCTACTTTAAAATAAAAAAAAATCCAAGTCAATCCATCGAGTAGTTCTTGAGATATCGTGGAGACCAGTTTGAAAAACATGATTGTTCAGAAAACGCGTTTTAATGTGGTAGTACTCGTACTTGACGCCATGCAATTCGTTTCTTTCTTATGCGATAACTTTTTTATGCAATCGTTATCGGCCAAACCGCTTTGGTAACATATTCTACACATCATAAGCTATCGAAAAAAAAAAACATTAAAAAAAAACGATTTTTTGGTCGAGTTTCATGAGAACCTCCCCTTAAAAAGAACTAACGAAATAAATTTTTTTCGAAATTTTTTAGTGATAAATGAGCAAGACAAATAAAGATATTAATTACAACCTGTTCATTTCGTTCCGCTAACTTATGAGACGTTATGTAACGTCGAAGGATACGTTATGGAAAAACGTTTTAAAATTTCGCGATTGTGCAAGACAAAGTGACAAAGCTTTGATTTTTTTCGCGACATTTTGCTGTCACTTTTTAATCTTTCTTACAAATCGTATCACGCAGTTAGATCAACTTTTTGATCATTGAAAGAACTGCATGGCATATTTCTTCTTTCAACAATTTTTTATCTGAATACAACTTCAGGGTGGACATTTACTTTACATGGCGAACTAACTGTCCCAATTCTTCCAGCAGAATTTTAATATTATATTAGTTTCTCGTTTATGTAAAGCAGGCTTAAAATTTGGCGACTTGTCAAGTTGATCCGACACATCATTGGCCGGATTTGTCGTTTGACCTTTAACTATCGACTAAATTTTGTAATTGGAAATCCTTCGCCAGATTGCCGATCCGATTAGATATTCGCTCGATTTGACTCGATTGCAATTTCCTCGACAAAATCAACTTGACCCCGAGACTCTAGTTCTCACCCGATTTTCTTTCTTTTACGTATTTAACGGGCCGACCGTCGACCGTGAATCGTGACTCGCGTAATTATCTCGGTAATTACCGCCTCTCCTCCTGCACCTCGATCAGTCTCGACGTGGGCGGCTCCTTGCGCTCCTCGTTGTCGCTGTTCTCGTCCGGGTCTACAAAGACCAATCGGGCGGCCTCTACAGGCGTGAGAACAGGTGTTGGTAACGTCAAAGCACGAAAGTTTGGCACCGATATAGGATCTCTGGTCATACCAGAAGCGGCGGCGGTGTTGTTGACGCCGCCGACGACGTCGGCCGTCGACCGCGGCGTACCCTCCGGCGCTTTCTGTCTCCGTCTGGCTAGTGTGTTAGCACTGCGAGACTTTACCATGCCTGTGGACGGTTCCACCACCTCGACGTCCACTTGCTGAAAAGGATAATACGTGTTCGCCTGCACGCAGGCCCGATTGACATATCTCGACGAAGGAGGCGAAAAGAAAAAAAATTCGGCTAGGATCGAGGGGTGTTCTCTTTCCTTTTCTGTTCTCTCGGGACTCGATTGACGATTCTATTGTCTAGTTCCTTATACCTCCTGAGGGCTCTCCTCGTTGTCGTCGTGGCCGCTTAGCACCGAGTAGCTGCACTTAGTCGGATGACTGAGTCGCGACAGGTTGATCTGCGACAGCTTCGAGATCTCCTTGAGGAAGCTCGGTCGGGCCGGCGCCTCGTTCGGTGACATCCGATTGCTCGACAGCCTCGGCCTTTGACCCCGCGGTCGCGGTTTCGGATTGTCCACGTTGGTGCCGCGAATCAGTAACTCGGACACTGCAAGAGCCACGCTCTCGGCTCTCGGCTGCGGTTTCGGTCCCGGCACGGACAGCTTCTCCCACGTTTCCGTGCCTGCGGAAAAGTATTCATTTAGGAAAGCTGTTCAACATTGCGAAGAGAGAGATGGCCATCATGCAACGGGAAGAGATGAAAAAGATCTGAAAACCATCGAAAAAAATGATGTTCTGCTAAAGGAAGACTGAGTTAGCAGAACATTATATATACGAGGGTGGATCAAATATAAACGAGCCTTTTGCAAAAAAATCATATATTTTTCAAAATCAATTCTAATTTACATTTTTCTTATCTTTCTACATAGTCCCCCATCTTATTTATACACTTCCTCCAACGGTCTGGCAATTTTTTTAATCCCGGTATCATAAAAAGTTCGCAGACATATATCAAACCAATTGCACACGAACTGCTGTGTATATCGGACAATTCTTGTTATGTTACTGCTGCGGTGTGGGGTCTGGCGTTGTCATGGAGAAGCAAACACTTCTGTTCGGAATGCCGCACCTCCTCGTTCGTTGTGAAGCGCTGTCCATCAAGGACTTCCTTAAGTGGCCCAAACATATGGAAGTCGCATGGTGACAGGTCTGGGCTGTAGGGTGGATGTTCTAAAACAGCCCAGTGTATATCGGGCAATTCTTGTTATGTTACTGCTGCAGTGTGGGGTCTGGCGTTGTCATGGAGAAGCAAACACTTCTGTTCGGAATGCCGCGCCTTTTTGACCGATAGGCAGCTCGAACCGAAGTTCCTGAGAGATTTAAACAACAGTTAAGTGCCGATCGCCTTCGATGAGTTCTCGAACAGCCTTGGTGTTCTGCGCTGTGATGATGGTGCGGAGACGGCGCGGGTGGGCAATGTTTTCAACACGCTCCTGTCCTTTCTTAAATTCGATACACCACTGCTTCACCCGAGTCCACGAAAGGGTTCTTTCATCGAGCTGTGGGAGTAAACGGCGCCGAATTTCAGCAGCATTTACATTTTCGTTGATGAGAAATAAATAACACGTTGTGCAACTGCGGGGTGTACCTCTTTCTCGCTCATCGTGATTGCTGCTGAGAGTAAGAAGCGCATGGCGCGCCAATGTTATTACTGCTTTCCACACGACCCCCCTCCATTGTCCAAAACGTTGCAGACCCCTCACGCCGCCGACGGACGCGCAATTTGAAAAGGCTCGTTTATATTTGATCCACCCTCACATATATTTATTTATATATATTATTATAATATATGTACAATATATTATGTAGCAACAATATTAGACAAAACACAATAATATTTGTAGGAATTCCTTGTTAGTTTGTTGCTATAAAAAAATTTTTTTGCTCTTCAAGTTCTCAAAAAATGATATTTTGCTAAAGGACAGTTGAAGATTAGCGAAACAATACGCACATATAGTAACAAAACTGGACAAAAAAATAATATAGGAAGTTGTTGCCGCAAAGAAATACATTTCTTGCTCTACAAATTATTTCAAAAAGTGATGCTCCTTAAAAGAATATATAATAAATAAAATAATATTCTACGTGTTATTTAACATTTATAAGATCTTTCATTCTTATCTCCTTCCTATTTGAGCTGTGTAGTACATAAACAATATTTTCTTAATGTGCTACTTATAGACAAAAAAATTTACAAATGATTATATTACCGATTAAAAAAATATAAATCTATATGGAAAGAACTTTTATTTTTTAATTTACTTCGATGTGTTATATTTTGTGAAATATGTTTCATTTTGAAACACTCGATTGCTTGTGTGAGTATCTTTAAAATAATATAATATAGATAAAATAAAAGAGATAAATGTACCGTGAAACGAGTAAAAGCACGAAGCAACGCCTACCAAAATGAAACCTCCAGAGCTCGTTCGTCGCCAAACCGCCGCTCTCGCCGCCGAAGATCAACATACAGCTCGGCAGTCTGCATGCCGCGTGGCCGTGCAGCGGTCCGGGTCCTGGTTTGTTCTTCAGCATGGACCACGAGGCGCTATTGACGTCCCATCGCCAACAGTCGTTCCTCTCTTGGAGGTCCGTCATCCCGCCGTAGATGTACATCGCATCGCCGTGCAGTACCGCCGAGTGCTTGTGCCGCGCCGCCGGTCCGCTCTCGCTCGACGACAGCAGGTGCCAAGATTCGGTCTCTGTAACGTTCAGCGAGTTAGAATTGTTGTTGTTGTTGGGCACTTGAGCGAACGATCGATCGATCGAGCGAACTTCCGCCAGGGCTGAAGTGTCGTTACCGAAATGAAAAGCCCACAATTCGGGCGAGCTCCCGCGTAAATCTTGGTAACCGCCGTAAATCAGCATCTGCCCACGATGCACCAGGGCGGTGTGACCCCTGCGACCTCGGGGCACCGCGCAACCCCGTTGTGCCCTTACTTTCCGCCACGAGTTCGTCTGGAAATCGTGATGGTAATCTTGAATTGAAAAATCGATATACAGGGAGATAGATTTTCTTGTACGCGATATATTAAATCTCTTTTATCTTGTTGTGCTTTATATTTTACATTTTATATTCATATTTTACACTTTTTATCTCATTATGTTACATATATGTTCCGAGCCGAAATTTTGGTCCTACTTGAAATCTAATTTAGTTTTACATTAAGTTTTCAAAGGTCTTTTATTGTACTCCCTTAGTGCTACAAATGAAGAAATTATTGCCGTTTTCCCCGTTTGAAAATTAGCACTTATTGTGCTCCTTTGATGCTACAAATAGGAATTTATTTCTGTTTTTCTCTTTCCTTTGAAGATTTAATGTAGAATTTAAAATTTCTTCGGGATAATAAATTATACATCGTATTGTATGCTATATGTTAACCCTTTGCACTCGAGGGCTCCGAAGCGGAGTCATTTAAAATTTGTCTTCAAACTCGAGGGCTCCGCTATGGAGACAATGCAAATAACTTTCAGTTCATAACATAAGGACAAAGACAAATCGTAAAAACTATTGTGTAGAGGATATTCCGCTCTTGCTATTTGCATTTGAGTTTGAAGAGTTTGAAGACAAATTTTAAATGGCTCCGCTCTGGAGCCCTCGAGTGCAAAGGGTTAATTAGTACAGCACAATGTAATATATTTATTGTATATCACACACACACACGCGCGCGCGCGCGCGCGCACACGCGCACACACACACAATGTACACATGTACATACATATGATAAATATATCATATTGTGTATATTGTGCGTGATATATGATAAATTATACGACATGTCGTACTATTGTGATAAATTATCTTTTGTCTTGAAGGAACCCACCCCCTTTAAGTGATTACAAACGAGCCCCCTTTATTCTCCACAACGTGCACGCGTGACCCGCGTTTCTACATTTTCGCGTGTGATCGTGTACGCCGCGTAATAAGAACGAGCCACCACAAAAGGGATAAAGACCTCTAATTTGCGGCCCTCCAATTCTGCCGTCTGAATAGGTTCGGCTTTAACTCCTGGGGGTCGTGATAATCGTCGCCATCGTATCCACTGAATAGAGATGCAAAGTTATTCTCTCTTTCACCGATTGCAGCTCGCTCGAGTTCCGGAAAATATCTCGGGTCGTTACGACGTTTACAACGTGTACACCTTCTCTTCCTCTCTTTTTCTCGGACTATTCACGGTTGTATTAACACGTTATCGCGTTATCTCGATCAAATTTATTTGCACACCCTGATTATAGTCGGTCACAAAATGATTGTAACGCTTTTTTATAAGTTTTCGGGACGTATCTCAATGACGTGTCCAGTAGGAGAATTTGATTCTATACTGTTATTATAACACAGCTCCACAAAAAAAATTCACAAAATTACCCCTGGGATCTGACTATGTCTATCATATGTTTTTGGGGTCGCTGAATCCAAATTCGGGGTCCATTTAACCCCATCACGTCAGGGTTTTTCATAACATCATAACCTCAAAAAAAAGTCCCGAAATCCCAATAAATCTTCTATCCATTAATCACTTAATCCCAATAACTCCAGAACCCCTTAACATCTTAATCCCTTCATCCCTTAATTCCTTAAACCCATAACCCCTTAACCTCATACACTCAAAATGCTATAACCCGAAAACCCCAGAACCCAGTAAGAAAGAGATTTATGTGCGTTAAAGCTCTGAAACACAGTATGTTCGATCCATATATGCTTCTTAAGCCTTAAACCTACATTTTTCAATAATTATTGAAAATTATATTGAAAATATACTAATAATAGATTTTTTGTGGAGCTGTGTAATTATTTCTAATTTATTATTACATTTTATTATTATATTATAACATATTATTCTATTCTATTATTATTATATAACCATTATCATTATTATTTCTAATTTTATTTTATATATAAATAATATATTTTATACTTCTACTTCTCAGTATCAATTAACATATTATGGATAGTAATTTTGTGTTAATTTTTGACATAATAGCTATGTTACACGTTGTTACTTTTCAGTTACATTCACTTCGTGTTAAATTAACACAAAAGCTTGTGCGGGCCATTTGGAACATGTGTCGAATTTAACACAAACTTTTTATCGCGTAATGACTCGAAATCGTGACGGTTTGCTGCAGGCCCCAACTTCATCGCGTCCAAACCGTTTTGCAGACGAGCGTGCGACTGCTAAATTGCATTCGCGCACTATATAGTTGACAAGCAAATTAACGCGTGACAAAAGCGCAGCGCGCAAAAAATCTTCTCGTCCCGCTGTCGGCGCAGGACAAATGAATTTAGCACGCGAAATTTTCATCGGAGCGCCGTTAATATTTCACCGGGCGGCCGGCGCGCATATATTTATTCGAGTCGCGCGAGTCGAAGAGCGTTTCGGCCGGTGTACCACGCGCGCGCAACCAACATGCACAATTGCCGCAGGCGGTGCACGCCTGATGATAAATATTGCAGCTGAACCTCTCGGCAACACACATTCATAACTCGAGCTTTCATCCGGGCCGCGAAACGATGCGCAACATGTAAAGGCGGACACGAGCTGCCCCTTCTTATACACCTTAGAAAGACTTTTTATCTCTCATTGTGGCCTGTATCGCGGTGGAATCGATTCTGAAATGATTACAATGGATTTCCGTGAGGTCACGCGCTGTGCGCACGGGAAATCGTCACCCCGTCGTTGGCGCTCACGAAAACCGAGAATTGCACGGGTTGCGCGGAGCTAACGCGAGCAGATTTATTTTTACCCCGTCGCTCTTACCTTGTAACGATTCCCACGTGAGAACAGTGTCGCGCGCGAATAAAACGCGTGCGGCGGCGAGCGAGTGTTCTTCTTCACGCGCGTCCTTTATATTTACGCGCGCGTATCATGGATGAAATCGATAACGTGGCTCTCCCGCGGAACAATTTGTCGCTCGATGTAGCGAATGATTCGAATGTTGCGTGTATTAAACAACGGCGGCGACGTTGAAGAATCCGGGGGTCCGATCTCCCTTTCATCAGAACGTCATCGGGTTTTGTGAAATTTATTTATTTATTTATTTATTTATTTATTTATTTACTTATTTATTTATTTATAGCATGAGCGGAAAGAATTCCCTTGATTGCATAAGCAAAGGAAATTAATAGAACAAAAAGTACATCAAGTGGCGATGAAGATGGAAAAGAAAAAAAACAAAGGACTCATATTTTTATGAGCAGCGAACTTAATTCGATACCTGAGCATATTTTGAGGTTTATTAAAGAGATCGATAAAATCAGAAAATCCATTAGCTAACATGTTCAGACGATTAATGGGTTTAAACTATTTATTTAGTATTTGATGATAGAGAAATAAAAGCAGATACTTTCTAACTACCCGTTTCTACCATCATGGTTTAAACCTAATCGACGATTAACTCACCGGAGTTGACCAATCGCCCTGATCAGTTCAGCTAATTAGCCAATACGATTCCGTTGAATTAATCGTCGATTAGATTTAAACCATGATGGTAGAAACGAGCATAAGGTACCTAGCAAAGACGTTAAACCCAAAGAGACGTTAAACTTAAAGAAGCACTAGACTACTGGAACAATCTAGATTGACATTAATTAAATTATGCAAGAATAACAAACCTGTGATTCTGTTATTCTTTTGTACTTCAAAGATACAATGTATATCTCGCGTTATAACGGTTGATAGTCATAAGTGACAGGTTGCCTAGTAAAATAATTGACGCAGCGTAAAAAATGATGTACACGTTCGATCAAAAAATACGCTGTTATTGAAATACGATGATTATATAACATCATAATATTCACGTTATAGATAGAAAAAGGATATAATAATCTAATTGTATTTACATTACAAAAATATTTACTATATCTAAGAATAAATCCGAGCTTTTGATAAGTTTTAGTAATAATTTTACGAACGTAATCAAATGATAGGTCAAAGCTAAACTAAACACCAAGATCCCTAGTGGAATCAACCGTCGCAAGCGAGTAGCCCACTAGAGAGCAGTTATAAACAAACGGATTCTTTTTCCAGGAAATTCTCAGAATGTGATGCTTATCAGTGTTAAAATTTTGTCCATTGGCAACACACTATTGACCAATACTATCGAGATCTCTTCGTAAAAAGGTTGTATGATTATGATTTTCGCACTGATAAATCTTAAGATCATCCATATATCATATCAATTTAAAATTACCAATAATATCTTAAATATTATTAATAAAAGGGAAAATAATAAGGACCTAAGTGGAAATCCTATGAAATTTCAGAAGACGTTTTGATTTTTCTAGAATAGGTGTTAACAATCTTGACAATTCGAAATCTATTTCGCGTTAATGAACGCACGTGTAGCGCAAAGTGAAAAGAACGGGAAGCAAAGAGCAAACTGAAGGAAATAAATTATCAATTAAAAAACTTATTTTTCGTTTGAAATTCGCTACATGATATGCATGTTTGTTAAAAGCTAAAGCTCTCTTTTTCATTATCCGCCATTTGTCTCTTTGTCCTTTTTCCCCTTGTATTGTCAGAGTTGGTCAATTTATTTACAGTTAAATAAGCGAAATAGAATTTCACGGCGATGAAAAATCTGCTGGAAGTGGAAAGTAACAAAGCGGGAAAGAAGATAGCAGGAGACACAAACGCAGTTGAAACTATATTGAAAATTAAAAACTCGTTCCGTTTATAATCGCTGCGTGTAATCACGCGACTCGCGTTCTGTTTGCGTGCTTTTTCTCTTTCCCTTACTCATCATTCCTCTTTGTCATTGTCTCTCCTTGCTCTGTCACACGGTTTAACTCTTATATACAAAGAACTAAGTGAAATAAAGTAGAGGCATGAAGAACGAGCGAGGAGATGAGCAAAAACGTTCAAGGGTCCCGTTACTTGAATTACAGAAATGACAAATGGCAAAAGATAACATCTGCAAATGGACCATGTGACCGACGTTTAACACGTTCGAAAGAA